CTCCGGGAGAAGTTATTTGTGTTGTTCCGTACTTGTTTGAATGTCACAATCTTTTTTTTTATCTCAGGAAGTACCAGAGAACAAGAGGCGTGTTTCAATTATGAAAGGGATTGTTATTGCTAGACGCAATGCAGGTCTAAACACCACTTTCAGAATAAGGAGGCTTGTGGCAGGAGTTAGTATCGAGTCTCTCTTCCCTCTGTGAGTTCTCATTCTGTATTATGCTCTGCAATCAGTGATATCTTGTTGAAAGCCCAAAATATTTGTGTGTCTGCGTGCATGTGTGTTTGTACTCTTATATTATATTACTGCACTTCCTCCAAGAATTATAAATTGCAGTGATTTCTTAAATTCTGTGATACAAAGAAAGAGAATCGAAAAAGCATCCTCTTGATTGCACCGTGCTACGTAATATTACACAACTCTAGCATTAATTGTGATTACCAGCTTGCCCGTAATTTTCACTGGAAAATACAACGAACATTAGTTTTAATAGCGTAGTTTAATATCGGCAGGTACTCTCCTAATATAAAGGAGATAAAAGTACTGTTGGAGAAAAAGAAAGTGCGGAGGGCCAAGCTTTACTATCTCATGGACAAGATGAACGCACTCAAGAAGCAATAAACATATCCACTAAGAAAATGGATCTTAAAGGATTGAAAATGTGCACGTCGATGATGGTGGGGCCCTCTTTCCACCGGAAGGTTGAATATAGTCTTTTCAACGATTGTGGAGATGTCGTGTTTGCATGAACTCTATGTGGTATTTGTTGGTATTTTATGAATTGCGGTTTACTGGGGAAGTATGTGAAGCAAAAGTGACTTTCAAAATGGCTTTTTTAACTCAAAGCTAACTATAAAGGATATATGTAAAAAAAATCTATCTGAAAATCTTCAAAAAAAAAGATTAAAAGGAGAAAAAAAGATTAATAGTATGATCAACACTCTTTATATGTGTGTGTAATCGGATGGTTAGGACCTTTGTACGAGCAGTGCTTTAGATTGGGGTGGAATTGTATATGCTAGATTGTGTATGATTAAGTAACCAGCAAAAATTTCACTAAATTCAAATCCTCTGGCAAAATATTGAAATTGTGGGTGTATGTGGCAACTCCTGGAGTGTAAGACTTAAGCTTTGTAGTTTAGACATACTTATCTCCTACATAATGATTCCTTTGAACCTTTCAATGTGATGGTAGTTGAGAAAAGTTGAGAAACCTTTTGGCTCATGAGTCCATTTTTGTTCTCGAATAAACTTTTTTCATGAACAGGCCTGTCTAGATACTGCACAATATTTTTTTTTTTTTTTTTACCAAAGGCATAAAGCTAAAACAGCTTGGGTTTTTGAGACTTTGGGTTGGGTGCACTGTTTGTCTTTAAATTTTCATTAAAAATGACCTGTGAATAGTTTTGCTTCTTTTGTGAATTGTTGGGGCATGAGCCTGAATTATTAACTTTTTATCAAGTACTACAAAATAATAATAACAATAATTATTATATTATTATTATTATAAAAATATTAATCTGAGTATTTTTCTCACCGTTTTCCCAAAATGAATTTCTAAAATTTTCCATATAATCTAGTATTATTTTCTAAATTTAACGTTGATTAAAAGAGGTGTAAAATAGATCATATCTTATTGCTTTTTAGACTTAAACGAACAAAGTATGTGAAAATAACTCATTTAATATTTCTGTCTCGTGCATCGCACGGAGTACGTACTAGTAGTATCTAATAACACAATGGATTCAGGGCTTCATTTATTACTCCCTCCTATTTTAATAAATGTCGTTTTGAAAAGTTGCACAGTAATTAAGAATATTTATTTTTGTCAATAATAACCCTCATTAATGAGGATAAAGATGGATGTTTTGAGAAAAGATGGAGAGTGAATATAAAAAGACGTAATGTATTTATTAGTTAGATGAGAGTAATAATGAAAAAATATGTATAAAAGAACCAAAATGACATTTATTTAACAAATGATCAATTAAACTAGAATGACAAATAATAAAAATAGGAGGGAGTAGTTAATTTTATAAATGTGAATTGAGTAGCANGGAATATATTATATAACTCAAAAGAACTAACATCGTTCGGGTGGCCAACTGGCATAGAAAAATACAGAGGAAGAAACACTTCCCACCTAAAAATAGAGTTTGGTTCTGTCCTCGGCAGAGACAAAGCTCGGAAAACCGATGACTAGTTCCAAACCAACAATCAAAATATATAAACAGCATGCTACCAAAGGATGGAGCAATGATAACAAAATTAACAAACCACTGCACTAAAAGGCTTAGCTTGTTAACAAAACCTAGGAAAGGAAATAACAACAAAAGGAGAAAACTAAACTAAGATGAAGAGTTAACTAGATCAAATTCTGTCCAATCCCTCCATGCAATATCTGCAGTAGCAATTTAGCCGGCCGTAGAGTGTTTTCAAAAACCCACAAGTTACGTGTTTTCCACATCCACCATAGGATGTATGTGGACAATTGGATCCTTTTTTCCGACGCTGAATTTTGAGGGAGCGAGCAAAGATTCATCCGCCAAGCTTTAAATGACTCAGTGTGACTTTCTAAACCATCCCAGGAGATTGGTGAAAGTTTCCAGATTAGGGCTGCTCTTGTACATTTGAAAAAAAGATGTTCTTGAGTCTCCCTGCCATCTCCACATAGCTTGCATACCTGGTCCACTTCAATTTTTCTGGTTGAGAGGTTACTCATTACAGGAAGAATGTTATTAATGCACTTCCAGATGAAGTGCTTTAACTTGCTTTTAACTTTTAGATTCCATAACCTCTTCCTGGCATTTTTGAGCTCTTTGTGATTGGTGCTTCCTTCAGGCATGTCTAAAAGGTTCCACTTCTGATTAGCAAGGTTGGCATAAGCAGATGCCACAGAGAAATTCCCATTCTTGCTCCACATCCATATGAGCCTGTCCGGTTTGTGTGGGTCCATCCCAGAGAATAAGAAACAACAAACAATTTGGTCTCGTTTAAAAAAGTACAGTATTTACAATTTCTATCACTCCCTCCAATTACTAATAATCATCATTCTATATAAATATATGAGAATTACTAAATAATTATACATTTCCTAATATCACTAGAATAACTAATTTTTATATTGCCTAACTAGTGTGTAGCCCGTGCTATGCATGGGTAAATAATCCTAATAATCTCAACCTTCAGCGAGTAGGTTCCCCGCCTTCGGTTCTGAGAGTTTGGTTAGAGCATGATATTATTGGAGTGTCGTATCCCCGTCGAGTCTTAATATAGGCTTATGGCCTCTTTCATTGTACCAAAAAATAATAATAATACTAATATTAATTATAAACTAAATAGTAGGATAAGCAATATTAACTATAATTATAAATTAAAGATGTGGGGTTACATGTGATAAAATTTACTCTATATAGTCTATTATAACAATATAAAATTATCTTATATAAAGAACATAAAAAAATTTATGTCTAAAATATTAAAATTGAGAGAAGATTTACATATTATATATAAAATAAATACTGAGATGATACCGAAAATTATTTCGTCATCAATTTGAGTATAATATAAACGAAGGCTTAATAACTCCATGCTTTATGCATACGCTTCATTTATCAATTTTATATAATAATTTTAAAATCTCATTATCAAAATTTGTATTCAAATATATAAAATAAACGGAGACTTAACAATTCTACGCTGCATATACTTTATTTATCAATTTGATGTAATGATTTTAAAATCTCGTTGTTATTAAGATTTTTATTCAAACACGTATCAACAAAGTACACATCTTTGAGATTTATGATGAAATACGAATAAATAATTTCTTTATAAAAGAAATCCTTATTTATTTGTTTTTGAAAATCAATGCAAACTCACAGAGAGTTTTTGTTCTTAACAAACTCCTACAATTCTAATTAAATCATATTATTCCAATTTGAATTTCATGATGGTTTTAAAATTTGTACACGTGGTCATAATCTATATCAAGTAAACAATTCCCATAATTTTAAAAATCAGTAGTTATGTGTTTTTGAAAATCAATGCAAATTGCTTGATAGTTTTTTTCTAAGAAACTCCTACATTTCTAATTAAATTATATTATTCAATTCAATTTGAGTACGAATTTAAAGTTTCAATTTGAAAATGAATTTAAAAATTTGTGCACTTGTTGATAGTCTTTCAAGTAAACATAGTCCCAATTTTTTTTTTTGGAAAGTTATTAGGAAATTGTTAACATTTGACTTTGAATTAAGGATTTGCATGAAAATTATTAGAAAATTGTTAACAATTGAATTTGAATTAAAGATTTTTTTTTTTCTGTTTTCCCTCTAAGTTTGTTAAAACAATCATATTTTATTTAAACTTTTATCTTTTCCTTATTTAGAAATTTTGAAATTTGTTTTGCTTGCTATATTTAGTAAATAGTAATTCTTTTTATATAAGTATAGATTAAGAAGTCTGATTTGTTTTTCTCACTGAAGATTTTTTTTTTCCTATAAATTTGTTAAAGCAATAATATTTTATTTAAACTTCTATCCTTTCTTTATTTAGAAATTTTGAAATTTGTTTTGCTTGCTATATTTAGTAAATAATAATTCTTTTTATATATGTATAGATTCAATCAGATCTCCATAAATCATATATTTACATATATTATTTTCAAACAGTTATTGTTTATCTTTGCATATTTTAATAATTTTCTCTATCTCTTATACTTTGGTTGTAATCTTTTTGTATTTTAAAAATGAATTTCAAACCGTCTATATTTTTAAATAATAATTTCAAACCACATTTTATAGTAACAGATGAGAATATAAATATATAATACCTCTCATCTAACTAATTTTGTCAGTTAGATAAACTAAATACTTTTTTTTTTTTTAAACTATATAAATATTGGTTATTACATAATAGCAGTCTTTGTCATACTATAAAACGTTATATATTAATTTTTTCGGGGTCAACCATTTTAGAGTAGAAAACAAATAAATGAAAAATGAAAGAACCAGTCCCTGTCAGAACAAGGTTATTAAAAAGCTGAAATCTGATCCCAAAAGTTTTGTATATATAATCTCCAGCTGTCGAACTGTTTGAAAGAATCAGCTCATCACAAGTTTGATTTTGGAGATTGATGGCTTGTACCTGACAAAATCATATTGAATTTAATGCAATTTTTCTCATTCGCCACTGCCACAAAGCCTGCTAAATGCGTGTGATTTTCATTCAGCTTGAAATGTCGAACTGGAGAAAGAATAAGTGGATTCGATGAAAAACTACATGGGATTTTGATTTCTGGATCTAAATCGAGCTAGGTCTTTGTGGGTTCGTTTTTTTTTTTTGTTTGGTTATTTGTTTGAGCGAGAGAATGCCACTGGAATCGGCGTCGGAGCAGGAGGGGGAGGGTTCCGACACCGAGCCGGAGTTTGTCGAGGTTGATCCTTCCGGCCGATATGGACGGGTTCGTATCATTCTACCGTTAAATCCGTTTTTTTTATTTTTTTTTTATTTTTTGGTTTTCTGTCCCCTTTGATAATTGTTCTGTTTTCTAACTGTTCGAGTGTTTATTGCTTGTGTTGTGATTGAATTTTGATTATACATTGGTAATCAGCAAATGGGTTGTGCAGAGAAGATGTATTTGTGAGAAGATTTATTTGTGATTTATGTGTGGTTGGTTTTGTTTTTGTGATTTATGTGTGGTTGGTTTTGTTTATTCATGCATAATTGTCTTTTGTCTTACTCAGCTTGTGTGTCTCTGTAATGCATTCTGTTTTATTTCCCCTTGTGGCAGTATAAGGAGATCCTTGGTAGAGGAGCTTTCAAGAAAGTGTATCCTTTTTCTGCTTCTCTGTTCGTTTAGTTTGATTGCTTCAAAATATGTTTGAGCTTTTTGTCACGTTTTCGTGTGAAGCCTTAATTTTGATGCCGAAAATATAGATACAGAGCATTTGATGAATGGGAAGGTATAGAGGTGGCTTGGAATCAGGTTAAAGTGGCTGATCTCTTGAGGAACTCGGTCGATTTGGAGCGGCTGTACTCCGAAGTGCATTTGCTGAAAACCCTTAAACACAAGAATATTATCAAATTTTACAATTCGTGGGTCGATACGAAGAATGAGAATATCAACTTCATTACTGAAATCTTTACATCTGGGAATCTGAGGCAGTATGTGGAAAATTCTTTGAGAAACTGTCGTTTATTTATATATTTTACAATTTAGGTATCCTTTTGTGAAATATCAGCTTGAGATGGTTGGTGTATCTGTGTTTAGGTATCGGAAAAAACATAAGCATGTTGACGTGAGGGCATTAAAGAAATGGTCCAGACAAATCCTCGAGGGGCTTTTCTATCTTCATAGTCATGACCCACCAGTTATTCATCGTGACTTGAAGTGTGATAACATATTTGTTAATGGAAATCAAGGGGAGGTGAAAATCGGTGATCTCGGACTTGCTGCCATCCTTCAGCAAGCTCGTTCTGCTCATAGCGTGATAGGTAAGCTTTTGATTTTATGATTAGTCAGTCCTTATTAGATTAATGAATATTTGATGATCTTGTAAGTTGTAACTTTGAGTTTGATGCTAGGCACTCCTGAATTTATGGCGCCAGAGCTTTACGAGGAGGAATATAATGAGCTTGTGGACATATACGCGTTTGGTATGTGCTTACTGGAGCTAATGACACTTGAGTACCCTTATGTTGAATGTGCCAACGCGGCTCAGATATATAGGAAAGTGACAGCAGTAAGTTATTGTTTCATTTTTCTTTAAATGTATATTCATATAAAACTTTTTGGTGAAGTTAACTTCTCATCATTTTTTTGCTTGTTGAAGGGTATCAAGCCTGCATCATTAGGAAAAGTGAAGGATCCTGGGGTCCGTGAATTTATAGAGAAATGCATTGCAAAAGTCTCTGATCGATTATCCGCCAAAGAACTACTGATGGACTCGTTTCTACTATCTGATGAAGATTCCGGAAGTATAGATCATTCACTTCAGGCCCATTCTTCCAATCCAGGTGCACTTTCCTATATTCTTTATCGTGTGGTATTGCGGTTGCAATTGCATTCAACCACTCTTTAATCTTTCTGACTATATATATACGCAGATGATATTGAAAAACCCGATTTTTCTGTGCTCGAGGGAAGCCGAGACTTTATGGTGCAAGGCCAGAGAAAAGATCATAACACGATATTTCTGAAACTCCGTATAGCAGATTCATCAGGTTCTTGTTATCTCTTCTCGTCTTATCCAGTAGCCATCTTTCCCACCTTTCGAATAAATATAATCAAAATCTTACATTATATTTATTAGCTTCAGATCATGTTCGCAACATTCATTTCCCGTTTGATATCGAGGTGGATACCTCGACTGATGTTGCTCGGGAAATGGTCGAGGAACTCGATCTAACGGATCACGATGTCTCGGTTATAGCTGCAATGATCGACTCTGAAATCCGGTACCATATTCCTGATTGGGCCCCACGAGGGCCCTCGAGTGACAACGATTCTCCAAAATCTGGACCACCTATTCTTGAAAAGCTTCCTTCCGGAAGAAAATACTGGTCAGACTCCCCCAAACTGAGTCGTGAAAGCTCGCCACTAAGATCATTAGCTCCATCTAATCTGCTTTTGCCCGATTCAGCTGCTTATGGGGAAAGCTCGTCTGAGGCGAATTCACAATCACCTGTTAGTCATAAAGATGTGAACAGTTTATCGGGTGGTTCTCCTCTCAAGCATGAAAACCATGATGATGATACAAATTACGATGATGAATGTAAAAATCGAGGTGACTTGGACCCTCAAGACTCTCAATATGGTGATCTTGGGTTTGCTACACTAACTGTGGAAGAAAATATGATGCTGAGAGATTTGGATACTGTTGACATAAGAAGTATTGTGGAGAAACTCGAGAATGTGTTGGATGAGCAGGTGAAGGAGCTAGATGAGCTGAAGAAGAAACATGAACTAATTGTTTCGGATCTGTTGAAGGAACTACCCGACGAGATTCTTGAGAGAGTTCTTAGCATTTGTAAACAGAAGATAACCGAACATAAATTTCGCTATGAGGGATTGAAGAATTCTGCAGAAGATGAACTTACAAATCTTCTTTGACGATGTAAGTCTTGAAAAACTGTACTTTTCTAAGATGAGCTTTATCAAGTACTCTGGTTAAATTATGCATACGGCCCTTGAGGTTTTTAGCCCCCCCAAAAAAAAGAAAAAAAGAAAGTTATCTTTTGAAAATTGGAAACACTCCATTTCCATTTCATTTCTTTCTAACAAACTGCACCCTCAAAATGGGGGAGGGAGTATCTGCTAGGTAAAATGGAAACCCCAAGGGCATGTTATAACTTATAACACTTTAAAAGGTTGTTTTTCATTTCAAAGATAACTACTTTCTATTTGGTAATTTCCCAAAAGCATTGGTTTTTTTGAAAGGATAATTCTAGTTGCTCATCGAGGTGTACATACTCTGACATTGGTAGGGTTCCTTTGAACATTTTAATTAGATGGACCTAACCCCATTTGAGTTTATGTACACCCTTAGGTGCAAAATTATTATGTACATGTAGCATTTCCCTTTCTGAAATTCCCAAGGACTGTATTTAATTACACATTCATCATCCTTGTCCTGAAGGTCTCAAGATGTTTGGAGATTATGAGAGTATATGAAGCTATGAGGGGGACCATAATTTAAAGGTAAAGAAGTGTTAATTCATTTGTTTTCGAGATGAAAATTTCTGTTCTGAGTTCGAGAGATGAATGAAATGGCAGAGTCAAGCTGTATATACGTACGTGGGTTGAATAACTTGGCGTGTAAATCTCTTTAGAGCATGCACTGCGTTACAGTAAGATAAGAATTGCTGCTGCACAGATTGTTCGGATTTTTCTGAAGTCTTGCAATCATGTTTTTAGTAAGCCTAAGAGATTATGTTATAGAGAATATGAAGACCTTTTACACTTTTTTTTTTTGTCGTAATCAACGGGTCATTTACCCTATGAAGCATACTGTATACCTGTACAGATTTGTGTTTATTGTTAATACGGCTGAGTGTCAAGTTTTCAGGAAAACTTTTTTTGTTTTATCTTTGGTGTTACTGAACATTGTTTGTGCCTCAAGTGCATGGAGGCTAATTTGGAATGTGCTATTGCCCATGTTTGGTGCATCTTGCGTTTTGGGCATGATCTTTGATTTAATTCACATATCCTGCAATAGATTGATACACTCTTTTAATATCTTGAAACCTAGTAGCTGCTAATCCTAATTACATCAAACTGCTAAATGTTAATATGCTCCAATGAGTGTTAGAAGATAGTCGACAAAAGAAGCTCTTGTATAAACTTGGCTTGCTGCATTTTCCCATAATCCTACCTCATCTTGGGGCGAAAGTATACTGCTACAGAAAAAGAAGAAAACCAGTCTTCTATTAGTTTTAAAAAAACAAAAACACATCAGTGTAAAGTGGGGTGAATTACCAAAAACCACCACTTAGTTTTCTCAAGGTTCGACATTATAAATGTCGCTCTTCGTGGTGTGGTTATATGTTTGTCTCACGAGTAATGCTTTATAAAGACTTGAATGGTGAAACGTAGAAAACATTGGCAAAACACAGAGATTGACTAAAATAAACTGGTGAATGGTAGATCGCCCGTTGAATGAAATCTAATACAAGTTCTTTGAGATGGATAATGATCATTGGAACTGTAACTGATCAAAATACATAAAAACGAAATGAACCTTAACAGGCCAAATGCATAGAATGGAAATTGATTTTAGGCGAAGGAACGAATGAAATTTCAAATAATAGTAATCAACTTGGAATCAACTACTAAACCAACTGTGTTAACATTTTATAGGCCAAGCTAAGTGGTTATGAACTTCCTGCACCTAAAGACGATCAAGAACAAAAATCTTCGTTTGTTGTGACAAGTGATGATGAAAGGTAAGTTTGATTTCTTATATTCTTTTTAACACCCAAATTTTGGCAGTTATATGCATGCCATCGTTTGTAGGATAATTCAGATATTGAAGTATGCTTAAAACACTTAAAACAAAGTAACACATCAAAATAAACTAAAAGCTTTAGAAAACTCCAACCATTCCCCATCAACAACATCATCAAAATAAAACCAAAAGTTTAACAAACTCCAACCATTCCCCCATCAGCAAAATCAACAATCAGTATTTAAGAATTCCATCTTCTCTCAAACCCCCACAAAACCTACAAACTTTTTGGTAATCACCAGAAAATATAAATTGAAAGTTGAAATCATCAACATACATTTCATTCATTTTCAAGCTTATTTAATAATAAGATACTCAACTAGATTATGTACAACTTCTTTTTCAATAATATCATCTTTGCAGTCATCGCATGAATCTTTCATCGTCATCATCCACACATACGATTGTTTGTATGCCCAAACCAAGACGGGGCATGTGATCCTTCGAAGAAATGTGACAAAGAATAAATCTTACACATCCTTTCTCGTGGAAAATCTAAAATTAAAACAGAAATTACCGCAAACCAAGACGGGGCGTTGGAGGTTTTTCAGTTCAAAATGCTATGTACCTTTTGGTCATTCTATTGATTAGTTTCCGCAACTATTTTCAACAAATTACAAAATATATAAATACATATATATTGTATTTAACAAAAAAATAAAAATATATTATTTCTCGACATAAATATAATGAATCGACTCATCAATAAATCCACTTAATAATTCATACGCTTAAATTGATCTATATAATAAACGTTATACCCATATTATATGTCTTATCCATACAAGTAGTAGGGAATATATTGGCCCCGTTTGGTAGATAGCGGATTGAATATAAATTAGCAGATTGGACTTAATTGAGAGGTTTGACCCGTCAAATTCGTTATGAGCTTGTTTGGTAAATAGCTTATTTGATAAGCTTTTTGGGCTCAAAACTCTAATTTAGAAAAAGCTCGTTAGAGCAGCATTTTGGAATAGAGGATTCACAAAAATCATTTATTTGGAATTTTTTAATTTGTCTTATTTATTTTACAATCTACATTGGTTTATTGTGCTAATAAATAATATTATGTCATCTATATGATTAATTTATCTAGAAAAATGTAAAATTCATAACTTCTTCATCAAATATTAGTAAATTTAAAAAAAAAACATATATATTTATAAATTAGTGACTAAAGAATATTAAATGTTTTAATATATTATTATTAAAAAAATACACCCTAAATAATAAAATATTTTTATTAGTCATTTTGCAATGTCAAACAGCTATAAGCTTTCAGCTATTTACCAAACGCTTATTTAAAAGCCGCTAATACAATCCGTTGGTCAAATCAGCTCATATAATTCGTTATCCGCTATCCGCTATCCGCCAAACAAGGCCGAAAACTTTGGAAGGTTCTGTTTGAAGACTAGCACGTAACTTGTTCTTACCATAAGCTTTTAATAAAAATCATGTTATAGTAGCACACTGGTTGACATAAATTTTGTTATAATAAATATATGACAATATTCATTTTTTCACATATCACATCAATTATTAAATTCACAATTCACATTCTTACAAATCATATATGTCATTCATTATGATAAAGAAATTTCATTCATTTTAGTATTATGAAAAACAAAAAAGCTTTTATAGGTTCAATGGAATAAACACAATAGTAATAAATAGACACCACTTCATTTGGTCTTGGAGACAAACTTATTTTTTCTTATTTTGGAAATCTAAATTTCAAATATACCAATAAATAAAGATATTCCTAGAGTAGAGGCATGAATAGAGGACTTTATCTTATTCTTTTCTCTATGTTATGAATGATTTTGAGTCTGTTTATTTGGGCTTATATCATGTATCTAAGAATTAGCTTATTTTATATGTCATCCAAGTAAAATTGGACCAAACACATTGTGAGTGCTGATCAAATCCATTAACTTTCAACTAAATGTTAAATAATAATAATAATAATACTAATAATAATAAATAAGGAAAAAAAAAACATTATGGCAATTTCTCAAATAAGGAGCCCAATAGGTACCTTCAATCAGGCTTCTACAAGCGCGGCCCACTTACAGCTACTTGGAAGGAGTTGCAACTTAAAATTTGATAACTGTAATTGATAATGATTAGCTTCTAGCTCAAAACTGGTTCTAGGTGAGTTCTTGCTAAATTGGTTGAAAGGAGTACTTGAAAAAATAATTTACCAATATAGATATAAAAAAAATATTAATACCCAAAATAATTGGAAATGAAAATTAATATGCCAATTTTTATTTTAGTTATTTTTGTACAATGTGATCATGACTTTTTAATATCAACATTTAAAAATTCCATGTAAATTAAATGAATATTGTAGTGGACAATTTCTATACCGACCATGTGTAAAAAACAGATGGCAAGTTGTAATGAAAATGAACTGTGATTACAAAAGGACCTAACAAATTAGGCTTGATGAAACTTTCCTTATGTATTGGAACCTCACATACGCACAATTAAAGGTTAGTGGGATTTTGCTCCTTTTGGAGATCACAAATTAAGCATATGAAATGTCACATGATAAAACACAAATTTATTCTTTTCAAATCATGTTCCATTTTATAACGTTACGATGTATAGAAAAATCGACTTGGATTCAGTCTGATATGAGCTCCTCGCCAGTAGATTGCCTTTCAGACTTGCAAAAACTCGATACCGGAGGAGTTTTCCAAGTGAAGAGCCTCCGATGCTTAAGTTAGCACAGTAAAGAAGATGATTTGTATGTAAGTGTATAAAGAACGTAGTGTAGCAGTAAACATATCTCACTGCCTTGTTGGAATATCACTTGTGAGTTGTCCCACATCGATTCTATAGGGAAAATGAACCTAGTATATAAGCCTAGTGGGCTACTCCTTCCATCACCAATTAGTTTTGGGATAGAACCTCACTAAGGTTCACCTAGGCTCACCCTCTTATGGTGCGCTGCATCTGGTGGGACCGCACTCTCTTCTCCCGATTCTATAAATCTAATATGGTATCAGAGCTGGCATGTCCTAGGACCTGCCCGCCCTGCTATGTAGGCTTGGGCTTATGAAGGATTCACAAGTGAGAGGGCGTGTTGGAATATCACTTATGAGTTGTCTCACATTGATTCTATATGGAAAATGAACCTATTATATAAGCCTAGTGGGCTACTCCTCCCATCACCAATTGATTTTGGGATGAAACCTTATATAGAAAGATGATACCTTGTTGCCTAAGATTGCGAGTGGGCTGCCCAGACTGCCGTTTGTACTGCCCAAATCTGTTATGTCACGTGGCTCTATCCATGTGAGACTCTTATCCTAATAATATACGTTCTTATCATTTAGTCTTCCTTATTAGACAGTCTAATCGTGTGACTGACCCCGATTACCTCAAGTTAAAGTGCCAATAGCTATTATGTTATGCTCATTTAGTTGATCTTACAACTAGCTATACCTTCAGGTCGAACTTCAACCAGGCCATCCGAGGACCCTAATTCGACCTGTCGGTGTTCCGAGAATCCACAACGTCCCTCTCGATCTGGGGATCCTTCGATCTGAGAAGCCTTCAATCTCAATTTAACCTGCCAGTTCATCTGGTTCGGTCATGCTGCTTTTCGGGTCCAGTCGGCCCGATATGTTCTCCCATATCGCACGTGTCATTCGTTCAATAAACATAAAACATAAATGGAATAATAATTTTGGAATATGAGATAAACAATATAGATGAGCAAACCAAGCTAGTTATATAAAGATATATAAATTTCATAAACTAATGATACATATGTGAAATTTAAAGTTTAAAGCATTTATCCTATAACCTTTCAATAGGGCATAAGGTTAACCTACTTGTTTATGAAATAATTCATTTTACACTCAAAATCTAACTTAACTTAACTCAAACCCACTATCATTTATATTATTTATATAATTAAATATTATAAACCAATCATTCTTACATATCACATCAACTTTAATTCACTATTCATCAACTCACATAATTTTAACTACATATCATTTCCAATTATTTATATCATACTTTTACATCAAATCATTAATAATTATTTTGTTTTAAATATTATTTTAATATATTATTAAAATTCCACTAACAATTAATTATACTACATTTTTCAAAATTAAGTCTACTTAACTAAAATAATTCATTTTGAATAATATATTTCATAAAAAAGCACGCCTTTAGACTCCAAAAATTCAACCCACGTT